ATTATTATCCTTATTATTACTATTATTATCATTATTATTATGGGTGTATTTTGTGCACCGCGTCTAGATGAGATATAGAATCTAGAAATCGAGATCAAGAAGAATAGTGAAATGACAGTAGAATCTAGATCTAAATCTGTGATATTTCGATAACCTATTGAATATTGAAAGTGGATTTTTCTTGCTGTGCATTATAGATTTTAAGATCTAAATCTAGGCTAGATCTAGATCTATATGTGAATCTTAGATCGAGATCAAGAATGATGAAAGTATTGAACGTGGATTTTTTCCTGCTGTGAATAGATCCAGAGTCTAGAACTAGGCTCTCGGTGAATCTAGATCTAGATCGAGATCAAGAATCGTGAAAGTATTCTTGAAAGTGGATTTTTCCTGCTGTAAATAGATCTAGAAATCTAGGCCATTTGTGACGCCTGCCGGTTGTTAAAAATGTGAATTTTTAAACTTAGATCTATCTGTGCGCCTAGGCTCCTTCTTTCAATTATTGGCCTGTCTTTACAATCCTTCGCGATTTAGGCTAGACCTAGAATCTAGATTAGGTTCTTCTAGGAAGCAACAATTGGCATGTAGGCCTGTCTCTTTTTTAAAAAAGTGATTGAGCCTGAACTTTAGGAGAAAATGCCACGCTTTCGAAGAGGGGAAAGTAGTCTTACCTCTAGAGGTAGTCAAGTCAAGAGGGGGTGCTACATGGATAAATTCAAGGTAAAATATTTATGTTTTGTTTCTTTTCTGTTTTCAGTCTTTTTCCTCTTCTTAACTTTCCTAATACTTCTTAATTATTATTCCGTTCGTAGAATGGGTACTTTTACTAGTCATAATAATAATAATAATAATAATAATAATAATAATAATAATAATAATAATAATAATAAATAAGTTTTGCTACTAAAAAATGACGTAGACCATATGCGTATGCAATATGTGTGTGGGAAGCTAGAAGTGCTGTGAACAATCCTATCCGTGTTACGAATTTTGTCACAGTTCTGTAGATATCTTATATAAACTCTCTATGTCTGCTTTTCTGTTGTTGCACCCAAAAACACAACAATTTAAAACCTTGATTCCAATCTCTAGTTGCACAGTGAATTCTG